CGGGCGACTGAACTTGATTACTTCTTGAGGTCCATTCCAGTCTTATGATTCTATGATTTAGAGTCTTGCAAATCTGCAGATATTCGCTTTATATCCATGGATATCCACATCAACAAATTATTTTTGCAGATTGCAGATCAGATGCAGATACACATTTTGTATCTGTGCAGGGCTCCAATTATATTGAGTGTTCTCTATTCCTCCACCCCTTTTGTTATACGTTGCTTTTTCATTTGCAATTGTTGCCTTCACATCACCATTGAATCAGGATGAATTTTGAGACATTTTCTTCTTTCTTGATTACAGAGTTATAGTTTTTGTTTATCTAATTAAACTCTTCTTTAAGAGCTCCCAATTTTCATCCACAATCAATGATTTTTCCAATTTCATACATAAGTCTCTTAATTTCTGAAAGTTAGGCCTTTTGAAGGATCTTTTATTTGCCCATCCTGAATGTAATCAGGTAACAATCTCTTGTCCCTAAGCAACCACAAACTCAAACTCAAAGCTTTTCTACATGGTTCTTTAGTCTGATCTTCAGGGATGTAAATGTTGTTGAATACTAGCATGTCACATACTAATTGGCCCATGTAATCTCCCTGGTACACAATAAAAGTTCCCTAGTGCACATTAAGGTAGGGACTAGGGAACTTTTAGTGCAAGCCAACAGGGATCACACAGACCAGTTAGTATGCAATGCATTAATGCACACTAGGATTTATAGCCCTCTGGTGCAGACTAGTGTACAGTATAGAGAAGCCTTTACAACCCTGTGATGAATTTATCTTTATATATCATAATGAGGTCCAAAATAGAGCTCTTTTCTGTTGGAGTCTATACCTTTGTCTTAGAAAAACATCATGGGTGCGTCTAGTGGACGCTTTTGCGCAAAATCTTGCCGCCTGTCTACACTGGCTGCGAGTATTTGCGCAAGAACACTGACTTTGTACTGTAAAAAATCAGTGGTTCTTGCGCAAATACTCCGACTCTCCTGCTCAGGGATAAGCCCTCTTGCGCAAGTATTCTTGCACAAGAGGGCAAGTGTAGACAGACATGTTAATTTCTTGCGCAAGAAATGGCCATCGGAGCTTTCTTGCGCAAGAGAGCATCTACACTGGGCACGGATGATTTTGCACAAAAGCAAATCTTTTGTGCAAAGGCACATGCCAGTATAGACACTCTCTTGTGCAAATACTTTTAATGGAAAAACTTTTCCGTTAAAAGTATTTGCACAAAATCATGCCAGTCTAGACGCAGCCCACATGTCATTTTCAGAAACTCTAAAGATGTTATATTTCTAGCTGCATGAGATCTCCAGAAAAGATTTCCCAAACTGAAATCTCACGTAACACCATTATTTTTCTTTCCATTCATTGCAGACAGTGCTTAAAGAATAACTGATCTTGTTCTTCTTATTAGAGACAGGGAAAATGATCCTGGAATAATAAATCACAGTATTTACTGCTGTTTAACAAGTAGTTTTGTCACTCATTGGCAAAGTATGTCATATCAGCCCTCCGATTTCCATATAGATGACAAACTACTACTGTTTAGGAAGGCCATCATCCAGAGAAAAAGAAAGAAAGTCCTCTCTTTGAGTTGTTTGTCCCATCTAATCCTGAGGAAAAATTGAGTGTGGTTTTGTCCAGTACTAGATAGGAGATGCCATTTTTAAAAATGTGTCACTCCACTCCTTCCAGCATGACCCTACACGCATGAGGTCATAAAGGTGAGGGAGGGCTCATTACGTTCCACGACGTACTGGAATGTCCAGTATTCCAAACACATGAGGGTCATCTTAACACTGCCACCAATTCACAGTTATTCCTTAAACTCGAGTACAGGTTGGACTTCCCTTGTCCGGCACCCTTGGGAATGAAGGGATTTGCCAGACCAGTGAAGGTCCCTCTCCTCATGGCCCTGCTGCCACTGGACTAGGGCTCCAGCCTGGCCCCACTGCTGCCCCATCCTCCATGGGCTCTTTAGTGGCTACTGGCCTCGCTGCTGCCGGGTCCAAAACGCCACAGCCACTTGGCTCTGCAGCCGAGGCCAGAGCTCCATGGCTGCCGCTGGGGCTGAAGCTACCCGGCCACTGGAGCCAGAACGGGACCAAGGTCAGGGCTCTCTTGCTGCTGCGGCCACAAAAACTCTGGGTCATGCTGCCCGCTCCTCGCCCTCCCAACACTGGATTTCCAGCTGAGTTGCCATTGCCTTCTAGGACGCATCTAACCTGCCGTCAGACCTTCCTGTTCCTGGGCTATGTAGTCCAAGAACATCTGTGAGCCATGCTGGACCATGGATTTTGCTGGACCAAAGATTCCCAGTTAAGGGAGATACAACCTGTACTATAGTCTTGCTGTGGATCTGGAAGTCCTAACCATCAACTGATGCTTTGGTTTTATGGCTGTACACACCTGATAAGCAAGAGGTCCATATGATATAATTTTTTTAAAATTTTTCATCATCACAATAATATAGTGCCTTTGCCTCAAGTAACTACGTAGGCAGCTATCTTCAGAGTACAATCTCCATTCAGAACCACAAGTTTTAGCACTGTCTTTGCAGCAATTTTTTGTAGAGAATTAGCGCTAGCTCAGGACTGCTGACAAATTCAAAGTATTGGTAAATACATGTAATACATAATTTCTTCTGAGAATGGAAGGCTGGGAAAATTTACCAAGCAAGATGTAAGAAGATGTAAAATAGCCAGCTTTGTCCTACTCTTTTATTTCTAGTCTTCCAGATGGCCACTTTTCCATAAGAACAAAAGAATAGCCATACTGGGTCAGACAAAAGGTCCATCTAGCCCAGTATCCTGTCAACAGTGGACAATACCAGATGCCCCAGAGGGAGGGATAGCAATATCCTCACATGATCCCTCCTCTGTCACCCACCTCCAGAGAAACACAGGCTAGCAACACCATTCCTACCCATCCTGGCTAATAGCCATTGATGGACCTAACCTCCATGAATCTATCTAACTCTTTATTGAACTCTATTAAAGTTCTAGACTTCACCGCATCCTCTGGCAAGGAGTTCCACACGTTGTCTGTGCTCTGAGTGAAGAAAAACTTCCTTTTGTTTGTTTTAAACCTGTTGCCTATTAATTTCATTTGGTGACCCGTGCTTCTTATATTGTGGGAATAAGTAAATAACTTTTCCTTATTCGCTTTTTCCCTACCAGTCATGATTTTATAGACCTCTATCACATCCCCACTTAGTCTCCTCTTTTCTTATCTGAAAAATCCAAGTCTTTTTAATCTCTCTTCATATGGGACCCGTTCTAAACCTCTAATCATTTTGTTGTCCTTTTCTGAACCTTTTCAAATGCCAATATATCTTTTTTGAGATGAGACGACCACATCTGTACACGGTATTCAAGAAGTGGGCCTACCATAGAGTAGAGACAATAAGATATTTTCTGTCTTATTCTCTATCCCTTTTTTATGACTATTCACATTCTATTTGCTTTTTTGACTGCCGCTGAACACTGAGTGGATGTTTTCAGAGAACTATCCACTATGACTCCAAGTTTTCTCTCAAGTAGTTGTAACTAAATTAATCCCCATCATATTGTATATATAGTTGGGCTTTTTTTTTTTAGTGTGCATTACTTTTTAATGTTAATAACTGTAAGGAAATGCACATTGTTATATCATTATATATTCACATAAGAACGGCTATACTAGGTCAGATCAAAGATCGATCTAGCCCAGGGCCGGACAAAATGCGGCCTAGGGACCAGATCTGGCCCACCTAACTCTTTGATCCTGCCTGTGGACTGCACCTGGCCACTTTCTATTTATATTCTGCTCTCTGTGCCTCTGAATTTCCAGGCAGTGGTTTAGGCAGCAAAATCAATTTAAATGGCTCATGGCTCCCAGTTGCAGCACTAACCTGGAAGAGGCCGAAGTCACAAACCTTTAAAATCAGTTTCACCTTTCTAGGAAGGAGCACTGCAGAAAGGGATCTAGGGGTCATAGTGGACCACAAGCTAAATATGAGCCAACAGTATGAAGGTGTTGCAAAAAAAGCAAACATGATTCTGGGATGCATTAGCAGGAGTGCTGTGAGCAAGACATAAGTCATTCTTTCACTCTACTCTGTACTTATTAGGCCTCAGTTGGAGTATTGTGTCCAGTTCTGGGGACTGCATTTCAAGACAGATGTGGAGAAATTGGAAAAGAGCAACAAGAATGATTAAAGGTATAGAGAACTTGAGCTATGAGGGAAGACTAAAAGAATTGGACTTGTTTAGTTTGGAAAAGAGAAGACTGAAAAGGGACATGGTAGCATTTACCAAGTATCTAAAAGGATGTCAGAAGGAGGAGAGAGAAAAATTGTTATCCTTGGCATTTGAGGATAGGACAAGAAGCAATGGGCTTAAACCGCAATGGGCAGCAAAGGGGGTTTAGGTTCAATATTAGGAAAAACTTCCTGTCAGGGTGGTTAAACACTGGAATAAATTGCCTAGGGAGGTTGTGGAATCTCCATCTCTGGAGATATTTAAGAGCAAGTTAGATAGACATCTATCAGGGATGGTCTATGGTACTTGGTCTTGCCGTGAGGGCAGTGGACTGGACTCAATGACCTCTCCAGGTCCCTTCCAGTTCTAGTGTTCTATGATTCTATGAAATATACAAGCAACCCGGGTGCCTGTCAAGCAATGTGGCAGTAGTGGGGCCAGGAGCCACGAGCCCTTTGCTGTGTTTTTAATTCAAAGCTTCCAGCCCCAGACAACTCCAGCTGTAGGCTAGTCCCTAGCTCTGCCCCTTCCAGGGTCGAGTCAACCTGTCGCCACAAAATTCGTGAAGTGGCCTTCCTGCAAAAATTATTGCCCACCCTGGATCTAGCCCTGCATCTAGTCTTCCAACAATAGTCAATGCCAGGTGCCCCAAAGGGAATGAACAGAACAGGTAATCATCAGGTAATCAATAATCAATCACCCCATCACCCATTCCCAGCCTCTGTCAAATACAGAAAAAGGACTTCTTACTCACCAGTGTTGAATTTATACTCCATAACTATCACCTCGGAGTGGGGTCCACAGTCTAGGGGTAGGTACAGTTGCCACCTGTGACAATTTCCAGTCACCTCCCTTCTCGTGTGACTTCTGAACAGTCACTTAGGAACTGGCCCATCCGTAGGTTTCCATCTTTGGAATCATGGTATGACACAAACTGGTACAGGGCGTCCTGCCGGGATATACATCTGTTCCACATTAAAGTCGTTAATGCTTGTAAGAACTGATGCATTATAAGTCCTCCCATTCCCCTGCTCTTAAGCTGCGCCAAAAAAAAAATTGCACAACTTCTGAACAGTCACTTAGGAACTGGCCCATCCGTAGGTTTCCATCTTTGGAATCATGGTATGACACAAACTGGTACAGGGCGTCCTGCCGGGATATACATCTGTTCCACATTAAAGTCGTTAATGCTTGTAAGAACTGATGCATTATAAGTCCTCCCATTCCCCTGCTCTTAAGCTGCGCCAAAAAAAAAATTGCACAAAAAGGAACCTGCTTATTTTCTTTTGTGGTAAGACCAAGTTTTTTGGAATGTATAGCGAGGGCAGCCTGTGGTGGCGTTATTTACACTTCTTCAGTAACTGGCGTGGAACCCGTCAGTGCCACTGCAATGTAAATACTGTCCTCCTGACCCAGAGCCGCTGGGCTCAGCGCTGCTCTTCCCAGTCAACACTCAGTGTGACTCGCGGGCCCACCAAGGGGGACCGTTACTTCCACGCGCATGCGCCGACACAAAACAGCTGGCCCTCAGCCCGCTGCGGACGCATGCGCTGAGCAAAAGGCATGTCCCAAGCTCTTCCCCAAAGCGCAAATGTTCCACCGTAGCTGCGCAGTGAACAGTTCATTTCCGAGCCCCGCTTTCCTCCACAGCGCATGCGTTAGATGCCGTTTCGCCATCACCATGGTAATGGGACGCGGAGCCCGGCCTGTGTGAGTGGGGTTCTCCTGCACCCCGCCGGCCGCCATGTCGGAGATTCTGTGCGAGTGGCTGAACGGGGAGGTGAAGCTGTCCCGGAGTGTGGGTGAGTGAGGGGCAGCGGGGCCAGGACACGGGGGTTGGTGCCGTATCTGGGATGGCAGGGCGGGGGGGATAGGCACACGCTGAGCGGTGGTATGTAAGCACCTGCGCGGCTCCCCCTAAGGTGTGTCTGTTCGCAGAGCCCTCAGTCCTCTCCCTTCTCCCCTCCACACTCCCCCACCCCCGAGGCAAGGAGTCCCTGGGCATTACTTACGGGTACAAGGGCTTCCGAGTTGCTGCCCGAAGGGGAGAGAGTCCCAGATGGCAGCGCACTGGGGGCCTGCGGGCACACAATAATTACGGCATAATCCCTTGAAAATCTCTAAAATAAATGGTGAGATTTCTCCCCAAGTGCTTGTGGGCTATGAACAATTTCAATTCTATCAATTAATAAGGACGGGGGGATAGGAAATACCGGAATTCAGGTTTACACTGCAGTTCCTGCTGTTTGGATTATGACTTTTTAAGAGAAGCATCTTCTCCATCATGAGAGAGAAATCCCTTACTGAAATCAGGCATATTAGAACATACTTACTGGCTGGTTTTCTTTCTTGTGCATGTTTTAGGAGCAGAAGAGTTAGTAACTAACCTGTCAAGTACTGGTTTTGCAAAATTTAAATGTTGAGCCAAATGTAAACAATTAAAATAGAGTAATTTACTTTTGATATTGATATTTAGATTTTAGATGCTGCAGTAGGTTATGGAATTTGGCACTTAATAGATTTAGACAACATAAGTACTGGCTTTCTGAAGACCATTTTGAATACTAAGGTTATTTAGGTATAGACATTTCATTGATAAAAATTTAAACTTAGCATACAGTATTAAGATTTTGCAAGAGCAATAATGAATTGAACTAAAAATTAAGTATAATTCTCCGATGTTATACAAATTCTGTAATGATCACTAATAGTCATAAGGTATCTTATTACTGATGCTTGTTTTTTAACCCAGATCCAAAATCTTTACCAAAAGAATTTTCTACTGGCTACCTAATTGGAGAAATTCTGCACAAATATGAGCTTCAGGATGACTTTAACCAATTTTCACAAAGCAGGTTAGTAACTTCAGGCATAGCTATGACATCTAATATATCTCCTATGTAATTTATACAGGATTTTTATTTATCATTGAGGCTTTTTCAGTAATACTTGACAGGATTTGGTGATGCTATTTACCAGTTATTAGTTGGCTACATATTAGATGCTCTAGCTGTATTAATTACCCAGATTAATTAAGGGGAGCAGAGCATTCAATGGGAACAGAGGGAAACCATACCATAGTTGGGACCCTCCTTCCAGAGGATGTTGCGGTATCCTCTCGCACTAGGAATACCTCTGAGGGGGAGGGAATGCCAGTTGTTAGGAAGAGGCAGGTGTTAGTAGTGGGTGATGCGATCGTTAGAAACATAGATACAGTAAACTTCCGATAATCCGGCACCTTTAGGACCCAGGGGGTGCTGGATTATCAAATATGCCGGACTATGGGAAGGGGGGGCTATGAGGGGTCTGGCCCCAGACCCCTCATAGCTCCCCCCCCCCCTTCCGATAGTCCA